TATAACCCAGGAAATTCATAGTTATGGTTAAACTTGAAATAAATCCAACTATATTAAGGTATGGAAGGGCACAGTCAAGTTCCCAAGGAACCTTAACTGTCTTGTAGTGACACCATGCATTAACTGTTCAAGTATGATGGACATGTTTTAGTCATTTGTGGTTCCAGATGAGATGAAGCTGATTTTTAAAGACCTATTATTTATTTTCATATTTTCCCCTTGAGTAAGACAAGTGAGGAGCACAAGGGTAACAATAAAAGAATGCAGTTACCTAGCTTTATTATAATAATCCCTTACAGATCATATTCAGTACCTAAATGTAGGTGTGCTGGGGTGAGGGGCGGTGTGTGTGTGTGTGTGTGTGTGTGTGTGTGTGTAACTGAGAAGAGGTGAGTGAAGGAAGTTAGAGGGCAGGAGAGATTGGAAGAGGAGAAGGACCAGGAGATAGGTGGGCTGATGGCTGGCACAGAGAAAGGAGAGAGCACAGGGTAGAGAGACAGGTCAGAGGGATGAAGGTGGATGCTAGTGGGAGGCAACACAGGCTCTTCAGCTCAGTTGGAAAGCAGACAGAATGAGATGAGTGTCAATTAAGCCACTTTGTGGTGATGGAGGCCAGCGTCCTGGGGTTTGTGGAGTGACTTGAGTAGCAGCAAGTGCTTTTGTAGTCCACCTAGTAGCCCTCAAGGCATGTCACCGGTACATGGAAGGGAGGGAGGTAGGCAGGCCTTCTTCTCACCCCTAGAGCCCTGGAGGTAATCGGAGGGGATGTGAATGAGGTGGCGTTGGCAGCTACTACTGGATGCTGTGAAGGCTCATCTCCATGCCTGCTGCTGCTCTTCCGAGTGGGCAGGAGTGTATGATAGACTGCCCCTTGTATTGGGGAGGAGAGACCCCAATGGTGATTTGGTTGGGGTGATTGGGGACCTCCTGGGACCTGTTGTCTCTTGACAGACTGGTGAGTATCTGGTGGGAAGGGGAGGCGGGCAGACCCTGCTGCTCACCTCCCCTCTCCCTGGCTGCTGTACCTTTCAGGTATAGAGAGCTGAGTGAGACAAACACTTCCAGCCTGTGACTGGAAATGGATTGAGTCTCAGTGGGATTTAACAGTGGAACATGCGCTGCCATGTCAGATCCCATTGCTCAAGGAGACACCACTCCACTGCCTGACTGTGTGAAGGGGAGCCCTCACCTACCTGAGATGCCGGGCAAGAAACCTGGCTTTCTTACCTGGGCACAGCTGCTGCCTCCTTTTGTCACTTACAGTAACAGCATCCAGAGCAGTATCTGACGGTATCTGAAAAGTATCTGTGCTGCTGGCTTTAGCCTCTACGCTCAACACTCTTTCCACTCTTGTGGATAGGACTTCAAAGCTTTACAGTCTGCGCCACATTGTGCCAACCTGGGTTCTGAGGGATCTGAATAACCTAGTTTCCCTAGCAACAACAGTCCTTTTAATCACGGGGGGGGGAAAAGGACAAATCTGCTTCAATTATCAGTACCAGGCCTTCTCTAGTAGTCTCTGAGTACAGGAACATGCTGCTTCTGTTGGTGGGAGTAATCTCCCATGGGGAGTAAAAGCAGAAAGCTCCTCCTGCCCTGGGATAGTGGAAAACTCTGCAAAGGAGTTTGCACCCAGTGCCCAGAACAAACAGTAGAGAGGAGAGGTAGGATAGTAATAACTAGAATAGCTAGGAATATTTTTGTGCTTGTATAGTGCATTCCATTTGCAGATCTCAGAGTACTCTGTGAATGCTAATGGATTCAAACTCCTACAAGGAAGGGAGAGAGGGCAGTATTATACCCATTTTACAGTGGGGAAGCTGAAATACAGAGAGGTTAAGTGAATTGTTCAAGGTGACCCAGGAAGCCTGGGGTAGAGCTGAGACTAGAACTTGGCTCTCCTGAGTCCCAGTTCTGTGCCTTGCCTTTTCATTTGGGTAAAGAGAGAGAGCAGTGTGGGACAGAGGGAGTTCTGGAGCTCAGAGGTGGGGAGACCGTTCCCTAGAGTGCAGGGTAGAGAGAGTACAATGATTCAATCTAAAATAAATTAGCAGAGAGGCTCATGCCAAAAGATTTCAGAGTCAGCTCCTCCGTAAGCAGTGATGGAGTAGACAGTAAATTATCCAGTGTGGCCATGGGGAATGAAAGAAATATTCCTGCCTCCAGCTCTGCATAGCAGCACAATCTCACCTCTGCATGTGCGTGTGTGTGAGAGAAAGCAGTCTGATTGTGAGTGGCTTGAAGAAACTTTTGAGGGAGAAAGTGCTTTTGCCTAATCAAAGGCAGGAAGATGGGATTAGAGCCCTGTACAGAGGCTGATATTCTGTTTGGATAATGCCAGTCTGAAACGCTAAATAACAATATTTTGCAAACTTGTCAGGCTAGAGAACTGTACAAGGGCCACATGAAAAAATAGATAACTTCATTAGAGGTCTTTAGATACCATGGTGATAGATGCTACAGTAAAAGCTTTTTTAACCGGCATGCTGGGGAACCCGGGGGGGGACACATTAAAAATGCCAGTTAACTCAGAGGGAGGGGTTTGGAATACGGGGCAGGGGCTGCAGGGCACGGGCTCTGGGAGGGAGTTTGGGTCCGGGACGGGGTTTAGGGCAAGGGGTTGGGGCGTGGGAGGGGGCTTAGGATGCCGGATGGGGGGACGCTCACCTCCAGCGGTTCCCTGTCCCTGCTGCTCCTGGCGGAGGCGCGGCCAGGCGGCTCTGCAAGCAGGCACGCTGCCTCAGTCTGCAGACGCTGGCCCCCACAGCTCCCATTGGCCGTGATTCCCGGCCAATGGACTGGGAGCCACAGAGTCAGTGCTTGGGGAGGGGCGGACAGAAGCAGCGTGTCTGCAGAGCCGCCTGGCCGTGCCTCCGCCAGCAACAGCAAGGACGGGGAGCTGCTTTTGGGGAGCCGCCAGAGGTGAGCACCCCCCCCCCAATCTGGCACCCTGAACTTCTCAAGCCCCCTCCCAGACCCAAACTCACTCCCAGAGCGCTCCCCGCAGCCCCTCCCACACCCCAGCCCCTGCCGGCCCCGCACCAACCACACTATAAACCGGACTTTCAGTGCAGATCAGAAATGCCGGTGTATAGAGCTTGTCGGTTGGTGAAGTACGGGATAAAAGAGAGTTTAACTCCCACTGACTTTCCTGATTAGGGTAACCAGATGTCCCAATTTTATAGGGACAGTCCCAATATTTGAGGCTTTGGCTTATATAGGCACCTATTACCCTCTGCCCCCGACCCTATTTTTCACACTTGCTGTTTGGTCACCCTATTCCTGATCCAACATACAGTTCCCTCCCTGGCAGCCATTGTCCAGACCAACTCCACTGGGTCATATGCTTGGGCACCAGGGGACTCTGGAAGGCCTCTATGCAAAGGCCCCTTCTAAAGAACATGTATTTGCTTTTACTTTTCCTTCCTGTGGTCCTTGCACTGTCTAGCAAACTCCAGGGACTTGGGGAACTCAGGGTGGCACCACAAGGGTGTTGGTGGTTCAAGGCTCTTGAGGCTTTATTAAAATAACTTTTGTCATGGGCCTGTGAGGATCTAAGAGGCCCAGGCCTCAGACACTGCAGTTATTTAACTGGCTGGTGCTTGGTACAGTACAGAGGTTCACTTCTACAGTTGATTTGTTGGGTTTTAAGTGTATCATTTGTATAAATTCCCCAGACCCACTCCCCCTACCCCAAACAAGCCCCTCAGTTCTAAAGGTTTATTTTGTGTCTCACACAAAGTGTGCATCCTTTGCTGGAGTGAGTCACACTTTTTTGGAGATGTAGGGTTGCCACCTGTCCAGGTTTTCCCAGGATTGTCCCTTTTTTCAGGTAGCTGTCCTGGGAAATTTGGATGGGTGCTTAGGGGTGTAGTTTTATGGGCTCTTACACATCACCATGGTCAGGGGTTGCAGGGGATTGCTGGGTATATTTGGTAGCTGCTTGTCCTCATTACATTGGCAGAGCCTAAATAGTTTTGTGGAAAAGAGTCCAACTTAGTCCTATTTGTATTTCAGCCTGTATTTAATGCACAGTCTTAAATTGGGCTCCTCATACCCCCAAAACAGAAGGATCTGTCTTCTGTGTGGTATCTAAAGCTAGAGTTATTCACTTCTAGGCTACACCAGAGATGTTGGGCAAGGTGTTCAGTGTGTGGCCTTCACACTCCACTTATAGCAGCTTTCTGTCCTCCTCCAGCACAGGATGCAAAGAACAGTTCTCCCACCTGCCTTTTCTGCAGAGGTTCACTCGCTTCTCACCAAATGATGGTTAATTTGACACATTCTCCTCACGCTTGATGAATGAATCAGGAATCTAAGGAGGAGGGACATCCACCAAGGGATCTTTTGGGGTTGTTTGTTTTTGGCAGCATGGCTGTTTGCTTTGCTCGTAAGATCTTTCTTTCCTAGTCTTCCTGTTGCTGAGAGGTCTGGAGAAACCCTGGATTTCCATCCTAGTGTATGTCAGTTTATGAAGTCTGTATCATTGCTAACGTTCGTGGAGGCCTCATCTATATTGATTGTGCTAAATGGACAAGGTTCATTGCCCTGACCCATCATGCTCATCTTATGAAAATGAGGCACTGAGAGATATAATCATGGATTGGCAACTCATGGAGGGCACCCCACAAGAACCTTGCTAGGAATTCTTTAACATTTTAAAGAAAGTTTATGCATTAAGCACAAATGCATTAATATTTAACATTATGCAATGAGGGCAAAACCCAAGGATATGAACTGTCATTAAGTAAAGAATAATTTATGTTAGGTATCAGAAAAGGCTTTATTTCCCACAGTTAATAATGAGTGGAATAGGGTGTCCGCTTAACAAGCGGGAGTTTGTTACAGCTCCATCCCAGGCTTAAGTGTATCTCGCTATCAATAATTGTGGATTTGCTGAATACTGACAAGGCATGTGTCCTTGTTGGGAGCAGGGAGTGGACTCGGCCTATGCTTATCTCCTTCACAGTTCTGTTTTTAAGCTAAGCTTTTTTCTACAGATGCTTCGTTCAGTGGAACGCCACCTAGTTATGCCTATGATGCAGACCGTGCCGAAGAACAGCGGCGACACCATGACATGATGCCCTATATCGATGACTCTCCATCCTCGTCACCCCATCTCAGTTCCAAGAGTCGGGGCAGCCGAGATACTCTCTCCTCAGGGTCTTTGGAATCCACAAAATCAGTGAGTCCTTTTTAGTCTCTTTGAGCATGGAATCAGCAGAGTGAGTGAGTGTGTGAGTGTGAGTGACTAGCATGGGAAGGAGGACTGATTGACATGTGATAGTGGTACCTGCTAGGAATGGAGCATTTAAGGTAAAAGTGGCTTTCAAGCGTTCATCCCATGTTTCATGGATGTGTAACGTGTGTACAAATTTAAGGCCAATTGTTCAGCCTCACTCCTGTGAGTCAGTAACTCTGTTGAATCAATGAGATTACTCAGTGAATAAGGGCTGCAGAATCAAGCTCTAAATACCAGCTGATGCTTTTAGAGAAGATCTTGGACCAAACACTGTAAAAAGACATGCTGAGGGGGTACATGGTAATTATGATTTGTGACCAAAAAAAATTGGGGGAGGGAGGAACAGGAGGGGGCTGGATGGGAGTGAAGTATGCTCAGGTAACTCTCAGACTGACAGGTAAAGTCAAGTTTTGAAGCTTGGAGGACAACAGGGATTAAAATTGCCAAGCGATTAAACTCTGAAGTGTGGTGACGGTGCATATGAAATAGATGCTTCTCGTTTAAAAAATGTACTGTGTGCACTCAGTAGCTGCTCATGTGACCACCTGCAATAGACCTTAGAGCTGACTGGATCCATTGTGCCAATGTGTAAACACTTCCAGGAGGGAGTTTTTTTTAACCTTAAAAGAATTAATAATCCCCCTCCCCCTCCCAATAACTAAATGGGTAATTAACTCTAGTTCAGTCAAATTTAACTGTTAGCTCAATGTGACTCACTAGAAATGAAATGCAGCTGCAGACAGCAAGGGTTTTCTTCCAAATGTAATGTTTATAATCAGAAATCAAAATGGGTTATTGACTTGGGCAAAGAGGAGTAATGGAAAATTCCCCAGCCTGGAGTTCCACCCTGTCCTGTGACTCTGGGTGCAGAGCCTGACTTTCCAAAAGGCGTTCCCACCCTCCACCCCCTACCTCAAAGCTGCCAATTTGCAGTCCTTCCCCAAGCACTTGCTCAGGAGGATAGGTAAAGCTGAGCTGAGCGTAGCCCGTCAGGCCTCTGTCACACTCGCTGTCACTACAGCATTATCCATCAGGAATGGTGCTTCTATTCATACTGCAGTTCTTGGTTCTCCTTATTACAGAAATTAAATATGAGGGAGAAAGACAGCAAAAATGTAACTAGAAGGATGTGAGGGCTGTGACAGACAATCCCAGCACGGACAATCCTGGGACAGCCCTGCAATATCCGGCTGGAGCATCTGGGTCATTTCATTCTGATGGGAAGAGTGCTAACATGCATCAGTGGTAGAGTTCCTTTACTTCCTGGAGTGACCACTTGCTGCAGGTGCCGATGTCAAAGTGGCTTGTTATAAATCGAGTATGGGGAAATCTGCTTGTGCCTGTTGCTTCATAGATGAGTGGATGGCTGTGTTAATTATCGTTCATTCCTGTCCAGCGCAGTAAAACTGCTAAGAGAGGGGCACCAGCACTACCTCAGACTCCTGACCCTGAGCTGCAATTAAAGCTCCTTAAAGTGACCCTGATTACACTGTAAGTAATCTGCAGATATTGGTGCCAGCACACATGAGGAAGTGTCAGCCACAGGGATTACGAGGTTAATTTCAACCCTGTTACAATATTTTACAGCCACATTAATTCCCTCGTTACTGCAAGTTGCAAAGCCACTTGTCATCATGGTTGCGCTTGCAGCTGCTTTGGAAAAGGTGTCACTGTAACAAAGGATAAAGTGCCCAAGGTGGTGCACTGAGGCAAGCGCACAAAACATATTTGACCAGAAGCCTGTAAAGCTGTCACATGCACCTCCTGTATTTCCTTTCCCACAGTTGCTGAAAACCAGAAGATAGTGTGTAAATAGGAGCTTTCTCCTCTATAAGTAGCTTTGTTCTTCTGCCTGATTCAGTCAGTGGTGTCTAGGGGGACTTTTCCAAATTCTCCAGTCCCCCCAGTTTCTCTCACTGGTTCTCAGTCCCATCCGCCTTGTCCAGCCACTAACAGCCTCCCCTACCCATCCCCCACTCCCAGTCTCCTTGCCCAGTCCGTCATAATCTCCCCCAGCTTTCAGTCCTAGTCTTCTTGCCTACCAAGTTCCAGACACCTCCCCCCCCCCCGTCCCCCAATTCTCAGTCTATTTACCCATCCAGTTCCGTCTCCACTCTCCCCTAGTTTCCAGTCACAGGTGGGTTTTTTTCTCCCTCCAGTGGCAGTGTCCTCCGGCTCCTTGGCCCAATCTATTCCTTTCCATACCCCCAGCCTCATGATCTGTCTCATCTATATTCGAGTCAGGTGGCTTCCTCCTCCATGCTGCCTGAGAGAGCGCAGAAGAGACAGACGCCCTGTTCTCAGTCCCAGTGCCCAGCCCCACCCTAGCCCAGAGCAACTGTGAGGAGATGGACCGTGCATGCACAGTTCTGTCACATGTAGGAGCTGTGGGGACTGGAAATGGAGCATGTTTAGTTTCTGCGAGGAGATGGTGCGCACACTGTTTGGCCTGCAGTACAGGCGTGAGGAATTAGAGCGTGTTCTTTGTGTGTGGAATCTTTGGAGATTTTTGCTGCTAAACTCTAAGAAATCTCTACTGGCAGGTGCGAACTGAGATTTTTTTTTTTCAAAGGCCACATATGGGTGGATTTTGACAGAAACAGCACAAGGCACATCCCTGACACAAAGGCCATCTCCCCGGCCAAATTTCAAGTCCCTGCTCCTGAACATTGGAGTACCCGAGCTTCTCAAAAGAAAAGGTTACCAGAATCTTTTTTTTTTTTAACATTGCAAAGCAATGTGGGTTTTTTTCCTAGCCTCATTCTTGGAAACTGCTGAATCATTTTGTCTGAAACTTTTTGGAAATTTTCAGCCTGAGACATACAGGTGGTGTTGAAAATTTCAGCCCAAATAGTTGAAGTCTGGCAAAGTTGAAAACAGGATATAATAATATGAAGTGTGGGGCAACCTTAATAATAGGCAGTTCTACCAGCCTTGCCTATAATATAGAGGTTACGTTTGTATTTGGGAGTGGGAACTGGAGTTAGTAGCTGGGAGTAGGTCCGCATAAACGGAGCTTACCTCTGGGCATATAGGAGTGTTGGGGCAGCCAGTGGCACATGTCACTAAAGGAGAGTTCTGACAGCTGGGGATTCAAACTGGGGGCTTGTTGCTGGAAAGACGGGTACAGGAAGGCATAGCGCTCAGAGCAGGTCAGGATAGGGTGGGGGAGTTCCCCAGTCTTGGTGGTGGCTATTGGGGGGCTTGTTATGATGGAGCGAATGTTGCATCCTCTTGAGGTGAGGGAAGGAAGCAAGGAGAAGAGAACAGGGACAAGAGAATAAATTTATCTGTAAGAACTTCCTGTCCCCAAGCAGCGCCCCAGCCAGACACGTGCAGTGTGTGGAGCTGGGTTGGGTCACGTCCCTGGTGTTCCCCATCCAAACTCCTCCAGCAATGCAGGGTATGTAGGGATGTAATGACAATGCGGGGTTGAGGGCAGGCGTGCTGCCCCCAGAAAAATTACAAATATCCATTTCTTGCATGTTCAGATCAGTTTTGTGCCAAATCCAATCTCTTGTATTATTTCTCTCTCTCCCCTTTCAAGGGGTGGGAGTGTCAGAACTGGCCTTCTTTCCCAGTAGAAGGAGGAAGCTGGGTCGTGAATGGGGACTCCAACTGGAATGCCCCCTCTTCCCTGGTCTGCTTCAGCCGTAGTAACACCCACTGGCAGGGAAAGACCCAGATGCTCCCTAGCCAGCAGAGCCGGTCCTAGGCATAAGCAGACTAAGCAATTGCTTAGGACCCCAAACAGTTGAAGGGGGACCCCCTCTTTGCTTTTTATTATGTGTTGGGGGGGAATATTCCTGCTTAGGGCCTCCAATGGGCTAGCACTGCCTCTGCTACACAGGCTCCAGCTCCTCCTGCTGCTCCCATTGCCAACCAGAGAGGAGCAGCAGCTCTGGGGGAGCAGGTTTCCTCCGGAGCAGGGGGAGCGCTCCTCCCTTTGCTTTACCCAAGTAGGGGGAGCTAGACTTTAACCCCTGGATAGAGTGCTGTCAGCTTCAATCCACCTATGGTAATTTCCCCAGGCACCGGCTTTTAGATCCCTTTTTCTCCATGGGTGCCTACATCTCTGCGGTTCCTCTGCTGGGCACCTGTGTCAGCCTGCTCTTGTAACCGTCTGTGCTCTTTAGGGAGTCCAGAATGTCACTCAGACCTGCAGACCGTGCTGCCCCATCAGCCCTCTTTGCTTGCTCTGGATCCATCTCACTACCTCCCATTCAGTCTGCTACCCCGTCTTTCATTTGTGCATTGAGCCTTTAGGTTCTCAGGTTCTCACACCTGTCTCAAAGTGCCTAGCACTGTTGTTGCTCTGCAAATAATAAATAGTAAGCAGAGGGCCTGGATTCAGGCCTTAGCAGGGTTAAAAATCCCCACTCCAAAGTGTTTAAAGTCCTGCTTCTCTGTGAATGCTTAGGGACCTTAAATAGTCCTTTAATTAAAAAAAAATGTAATCTCTATAGTTTATCGTTGTTCTCCTGCTTTGTGATTCATCAATCCTGAGCTCAAGCAGGAAGCAGAGGGTTTTAAATTCCCCAGCGCCTGGTGAGGGTGAGAGCTAGGAAGAACACTGAAGTTACTGTGTAAGGCTACACTTCTGTGTTTAAATCATCCAGAACTTTGACTGCTCCTGCCAATATAACCAGGGCTGGAGTTCTGGAAACTAGTAGCTTCAGGAATTGGAACTCCCTTTTATAAAGCTGGCCTCTGACTGGTGTGAAAAGCTCTGCCTCCCATGCTTACAAAAGTCCTTTATTGCAAATTACCAAAGCAGACGCTCTCTGGGTGACAGTCACTGGAAAGATGACCTGCACCCGCCTATCTGGCATTTCCTGAGAGTCAGAGAATGTCCTCCAGCAATGTGAGGGAGTGAGGGGCAAGCTACCCCACCTGATCTGCTCCCAACTGTTGACTCCACTTCCCACTGTGGCACCCCTGGG